TGGGGCAGATCCAAGGTGCTAAAGTGTCTTTAAATTACAGTAGGGGAGAAAGGAGCAGACAACCACCTACAGAAACCTGATAGCCACTTGCCACAGTTGTAAACCTGCCGGCCAGGGCACCCCGTGCTGCCAGGAGAGCAGCACACCCACGGCTCTCCCTCTCCAGAGGCCACAGGTTTCTTTCCAGTCACCCTTTATTTTATTATTTTTTTTCCAAATCCATCTGAAATAGCAATGCAGGACCAGTGCAAAGGACCAGATGTTTTGGTAACGTTCAAATTTAAGGTTTCTTGCTTCCAAATACTTTCTGTGCATCCAATACTTGTTACAATCACAGGGCCACTCATTTCAGCATAAAACCATTACACCACAAAATTAAGGATTATGGAAGTATGTATGGAAGTTTTCAAAGCCAGGCTGGATGGGGCTTTGAGCAACCTGGTCTGGTGGGAGATGTCCCTGCCCAGGGCAGGGGGATGGAATGAAGTGGTCTTTAAGGTCCTTTCCAACCCCAACCATTCCATGATTCTCTGATTACCAAGTGGTACCGGTGCTTCCTGAGTCCAGATTGTGCCACCAACACTTGGGAGTCCAGGAGAGCACTTTGGGGCCACCACACAATTCACAAAGGTACAAGGAGAGCAATGAGAGTAGAAAGGGTATGGCCTAAAACCCTCCAGGTTGAAGATCTCACGTCAAGGCGGTGACGGCACATCAATACCTCCAAACCCATAACAGCTGGGGCTGGAAGTCCCATGTTCTTCCCGAAACGCGGCTCCGCGGGGGAAATCGGGGTGAGAAGGAGCCGATTCCTCCCAATAGATGGCAGCAATGCATGGAGACACAGCCACTTCTCCCAGCCCTGGTCCAGCCTCAGGCTCAGGTGAGCCCCGGGGCAGAGGAGACCGCATCAGGGTGCAGAGCTGGACCCTGGGTACCACCAGCCCCTGGACCACCCTGCCTCCTTCCCTCCTGGGCTGCCACTTCTCTATTCCTGCACTTGAATACAAGCTTCCTCCCCCCCAATTCCATCCTCCGCTACTTTTGTTGGCCGGTGGAGGCTATTAAATAAATGCCGAGCGAGGAAGAGGCCCGTAGCAGCGAGCACAAGCACTAGATGTACTCTGAAAATAGACCATGTCAATGGAGCTGGGGTTTTGTTACTAAGTGTCCCTGATCGAACTCTTTGTGACTTAATCACGCTTTTGGCAGCGGCGTTAAGAAACAAGTAATGAATCAAGTTATTGTATTTCCTGGATTTTACTCCGCTATTGTAATGTGCGACCCCAATGAATACGCCGATTCCACTTCTTCTTCCCCTGGGTTAATTCCTCCAGCCCTCCCAGCCTGGCCAAAAGGGCTTTTTTGGAAAGAGTGGTTTCGCTAACGCTATGCAGTATATAATGGTTTGAAAAATCTCATCTCGAGCTGTTAGTTAAATCTCCGCCGAAGGAGCAGGGGCAAGAGCAGAAAAGGGAAAATGGAAAGGGTTCAGTCATGTTGGGAGCCGGGAAACCGGGGAAAGAAAAAGCAGTAAGAAGTTGCTTTACAAATACAGGCCTCCTACTTTGTTAACGCATTTAAGTAATGTTAATTGCAGTGCACTGCAGTATAAAGAGGCATTTGTAATTGATTAATCTATGTTTGCCATTTTCTAATTAAAGAGAAAAGAAACCCTAATTATTCCGCTCTGTACTAGGCGGTGGAACAGTCATTATGGAATAAGCAATTTTCCTTCCTCAGACCCCGGGTTCCCCTATTCTCCCACGTTACATAAACACACACACCCCCAACCCCCCCGCAGCAGGACCCATTTCTGCTCGTTAGGCACCCCCAGCACCACCAAGCTCCACAGCATCCCACCACGCAGGAGCACGAGGAGTGGACTCCAAGCTTCAGCTCAAGCTCCAAACCTTGCAAAGGATGGCTCTGCCATGTTTTCCAGGCCCTATGGAAAATAAGATGGGTAAGAAAGATGAATTTTGGGGCCAAATTTCATCACTACCTCTGTACTGAAGGTAGATTAGAAAGAAACCAAAAAGGGCATTGGGAAGAATAAAAGTAAGGCCTAACAGGGGCCTGTGTCAGGTGGAAAGAGATGACACCAAGATGACACCAAGATGACACCAAGCCTGAGCTGCTGCTGCTGCTTTAAGATGACACCAAGCCTGAGCTGCTGCTGCTTCGTTCTGCCTCACTTGGACAACAGAGAAAGGCAGAGAGAGCAGTTGCTGTCCTCAGGGTGCAGATGACAACCTGTGGCCCAGGGTGAAGGGTGATGGACTCAGCCCCAGCTTCTGAAACTCGCTCAAGAAAGTTGAAAAAAAAAACACTCCAGCTCCCAGTGCTGCCCCCCCCCAAATTGCTTGATGTCCTCTCCCATTCCCAGATTACTGGAACATCTCCCCTTGCTTGGGGAGGGCAGTCCAAGAGGTCCAAGAGGAGCAGACCCAGGAAAAGCCTCCAATGGTGTTGGCATGGGTGAGTCTCTGCTCACCCTCAAAGGTTGATGTCTACGATAAAGTTGGGCAAGACAAATCCAGAGCCAGGTAAACTTGCTCAGTGATGCAGAGGCCAGCTGATGGAGAAAGACGTGAGGAAAACAGGCTCCCCTTTCCCTGGCTTAGATGAGACAGGATGGAATATCTTCTCTTTAATTTGGAAGACAAGCTGGTAACTTGGTTCCTGCTGATCAGTCCCATGCCATTGCCTGACTCCAGAAACAGGGAAAACTACAGCACGTTCACACACCTGGCACACAAGATGCTGTCACTTCAGAGCTGGTCTCCAGAAATAGTGAAATTGTACCACTTTGAGGTTGAATCGAGTGTTCGGGGCAGGTGATGTGAGTCTTCTTATTGGGTGTTTCTGCCTCTGGTTTCTGTGAAGGAGCAGTCAGAGACAAGCTGCTGAGAGAGGAGGATGCTGATCACACAACTCGGAGCAGAGTTTGGAGCTCTTACAGCAGAGATACCAAGGGGTTGGATCATAACTTTTTCACTTTTCATGATTTAAAAAAAGCCTTCAGAGAAAAAAAATATTTCATAATTAGACAGCAGGACTCATTATTCCAAGATATTGTTGAAGACACGTAGGAGGATTTTTAAACAGAGCTTAGACATGAATAAAGAATATGCAGCTTTAAGCCAGGCAAGGGTTTAAAGGAGAACATAAAACCCTCATGCTTCAAATTGAGACCCATTTTTACTAATTGGAGGTTGAGAGGAGTATTATTTTCTGCCAAGTGCCAATGTTCTCCTCCTTCCTAGCATATCTTAACTCGAGTTGTTCTCCATCTCACATGGAATAGTTACTCCCAGCCTCCAAGCAGACCCAATGCCATAACACACATCTCCCAAACCCAGCAGAAGGGACAGAACGGAAGGGTTTGAAGGTAAAGCCCTTTCAGGGTAGATGAATAAAAAGGGGTGAGACTTTCTGCCCCTTGGCTGAAGCAGATCCTAAAAAATGAAGTGTGAGAGACCCCAGAGGTGCAGGGAGATGACAAGGGAGGAAACGGCCCAGATTAAATGCTCATTATAGCAGAGGCCCCAGATAATCCCCAGGATGCGTTGTGTTAGGTGCCAATACAGCCCCCAAGACACTGCTGATAAGATTATTTTGGTATTTACTGTGCCATAAAGTTACACGAGCAGGGAGGTGCTTCCAAGTGAGCAATTCACACACAGGAGACCAAGGACCCAGCTCTCCACATCCATACATGTGTATTTAATTTTAAGCGCTAGTAATCCTTTAAATCAGAGACTTTAAGGAACCACTCAGGCTTAAAATTAAGCACATATGTGGATGTTTGCAAGGTCAGGTCTGGAAGATCATTTGCCTCAGTTTCCACCTGTTAGGGGAGAGTCCCTTTTCACATTGCCATTTTTCCCTTTTTCCCCCAGTTTCAGCCACACATTGTCATATCTGGGTCTGTGTTCAATACAGCAGTTTAAGGTCCTTACGCTGGGGTCTTGAGAGGTTTTTTTTTTTACAAGTAATAGAATTAGTCCGTTATCAGAAATCTCCCGAAGCAGCAAAAAATAAAATGGGAAATGCAGAAAGTTAACCAAATATAACCTCTGCTGTTCTTATTCAATGCCAAGGGAGCTCAGGGGTGAGCAGTGGTTTTCCCCCCAGCAGCTGGATTTATCTTTCTTGTTCATAGATGGAATGATGGCATCAACCCACAGATGAGGACAGAGCAAGACACAGGTAAATGGGTAAACCCTGGGCCAGTTTTATCATTTTCCCCCTCCTTTCCTTTGTTTTGTCTATTCACAGTTTAAGCTGTTCAGGAGACAAATGTATTATAACAATTCTTAGAGATGCCACCTGAGCTCAGGGCTGAATTATACCAGATCCCAGACAAGGCAGCAACCAAGAGAAGCACCATCCAGCTGCTCTGGGGCTGACAGTCCTTCACAGCAACAGGAGAGCCAAACAAAGACCGTGGACAAGTTCTTTGGGAAACCATCATTTTTCTCATGTGAATCCAACCATTCAGTGTCCCAAACACACGGCAAATCAGATGCACCTGGAAACCTCACACAGAGCTTTGCATATCACACAAAACCACTCCAAATAGTTACTTTTGGGAGCCTACCTTCTTCTTTAGAATAAAAAGGAGAAGAATAATCACAAAAAATACCATAAACCCCCCAAACTTACCAGTTAGAAGGGATGTAAGCCTACAGGAACCAGGTGACAAACAGCCACCCCAACAGAAACACCTTTTCTTCCTTTCCCACCTCAATATAAAGGGCCAGAGGGCGTGAATCCAACCATTCAGTGTCCCAAATACACGGCAAATCAGATGCACCTGGAAACCTCACACAGAGCTTTGCATATCACACAAAACCACTCCAAATAGTTACTTTTGGGAGCCTACCTTCTTCTTTAGAATAAAAAGGAGAAGAATAATCACAAAAAATACCATAAACCCCCCAAACTTACCAGTTAGAAGGGATGTAAGCCTACAGGAACCAGGTGACAAACAGCCACTCCAACAGAAACACCTTTTCTTTCTTTCCCACCTCAATTTAAAGGGCCAGAGGGTAGGTAAACTGGGAACTGCAACTATTTCTGTAATAAGAACAAAAACAATAAAATGCAAAATTACGAATGTGGTAGATCTTTCACTGCACGTTGTGAGACTATCCACTCCTATTTTGCCCAGGGAGAACAAGACACATTGAAGTGCAATAGATACATAGATCTTTCACTGCACGTTGTGAGACTATCCATTCCTATTTTGCCCAGGGAGAATAAGACAATAAGACACGTTGAAGTGCGATAGATACATGGCTAACAAATCTGAGTAACATAAGTGAAGGAGGAAGACTTTATAATAACAGAATATGTTGGTAAAGAAGACCCTGGAGATAATTCCTTGTATGAGACTTGTTTCAGTATTTAGGTAAATGCACGTAGACACTGCTCTGGTCTGGTGAGACATTACATTGATCCTGGAGGATCAATTACTGACACCACCATGGCTTGGGTCCAGCAAATCCTTCAACGGAGATGGTAGACATCTGTCAGTCCTGCCCAGGTGGACACATCCTTCTGTCTTTCTAGTGGAAGTCGTTCTTCAACCTCTGGACAAAATGCTTCTAAACCTTTTTAGAAGTGAAAGAGATTTCCTTCATCCTAGTGTCCCACCAGAGCTAGATGTGTTGGGATGTGTGATGGAAATTCATCCTTGTTCTGTGCCCAGTTTGTTCTTCTTACTCCGCTCACTCCGGGAGAATCTCCCTGCCCTTCCCTCATCCCCATGTTAAAGACAAGAGAAGGCAGGAATGGGGGGAAATAATGGAACAAATGTCTTTTTAATGATTTGGAGAAAGAGCTAAGCTGTTGAAATCCTCTCATTGTTAAATCAGGTGATTCATCCCTTATCCACCATCACATTACATTTCAGGAGGATTTTCTCCTACCTGGCGTTTACGTTCAATCCCATGACCTGGTGGTCCTCCCGAGCAGATCCAATCCCCAGGTACGGCAGCGCGAGCAGTTGCTCTCAGCGGGATCTGTCCGTGACTCTATTTCATAGCCCTGAAATGTCACCAGAACATAGTTCTCTGCAGAGGGAACTAAGTGAAGGAAACCACCAAGAATTTGGCTCCACATTATCACCCAAATCACTAGTAAATTATCTACTTTGTTTTAAGAAAGGATTACTTGGAGCAAAGAAAGACAAGGAAGTTCATCCAAACCCCTTGATCTGAATCCCCTTTGGGCACAATAAAAATACGTTCTGGCTTTCTATTCTGTTATAGATTGTAGGCAATGAAAGCTTCAAGTTCACCAACCCTCCACAGTGCTTGGCTTCAGTCAGCAGAGATGGTATCTGGGGCTTTTGGAAAAAAATTAAAAGGATTGGAAGACGTCTGCAGCTCCGACACAATTATTTATGGGCCTTCAATGAGTGTTGGCTGGAAAAATAATCAAGAGTGAGAACTGAGGGGAAAAACAAGACAATGAAGCTCAATAGGCTTCTTTTTGCTACTATAGAACCCCACAACGTAAAGGGGCTTCTGAAAATCTCTAGGTGTCCACAGGAATTGCTCTAAGATCATTGCAAGAGTTTAAATCTACAAATAGACAGGGCCAACATCTGACCAAACAGGAAGATCTCAAGCAAAGAAAAAAATCAAAATCACTGGTCACATTTGGAGAACAGTCACCGGAGGCAGCGTGGCTGAAACCCTGAGCACGTGTGTGTGCACAAACCAAACCGCCTGTGACTTTCAATTTAGATGCTTTATAGTCCAAAATGATAGGAAGGGGTTTATCAGCTGTAGAATTGAAACGAGCACTTTTACAGCTGCCTTCAGCTCTGCAAGGGAGGAGCAGGGGAGAAGACTGATCCATATTATCCCTGGTTTGATGCAGTTAGAGGTCTGGCCAGGCCAACATCACCTTTTTTTAAGAGCAAGTTTGAGCAATGGGAATGCCCAGCAGAAGCCCCACCTAAAGTGCAGCTGAAAGGGGACAGAGACAGCCTTGTGCTGTTCTTCTCCCCAGAGATGCACCTGGGGAGAAGAATGGTGCCCAAAACAGCAGAAGGAATCTTCCGATGGTCTCACAGCAGATTGGTGGTGGAGGAACAAATTAAAAAATCAGACTTATGACCTGTGCTCCAGCAGCCCTTTAGTGACTTCCTGTTGAGTCCCAGGGAAACTTATAGAATCATAGAATCATTATAGAATGACATAGAATTATATCTTATAGAATTATAACTTATAGAATCATAGAATGATTGAATGGTTTGGGTTGGAAGGGACCTTAAAGACCATCTCATCCCACACCCTGCCCTGGGCAGGGACACCTCCCACCAGCCCAGGTTGCTCCAAGCCCCCTCCAACCTGCCCTTGAACCCCTCCAGGGATGGGGCAGCCACAGCTTCTCGGGCCAACCTGGGCCAGGCTCTCACCACCCTCACACCAAAGAAGTTCTTCCCCACATCTCAGCTCAATCAGAGAGTCAAACCCTTCCCTCTACTCCTAGGGCTCCCCTCCCTCATCAAGAGTCCCTCCCCAGCTTTCCTGGAGCCCCTTGAGGGACTGGAAGGGGCTCCGAGGTCTCCCCAGAGCCTTCTCTTCTCCAGGCTGAACCCCCTCAACTCTCTCAACCCATCCTCACAGCAGAGGGGCTCCAGCCCTCCCAGCATCTCCGTGGCCCTACTTGTTCTGGGATCATGCAAGGGTGCTCAGAGCAGCCTCACACATCAGGGAGACTGAGCACAGAGGACAGCACAGACCCAGGTAGAGTGACAGAAGCTGAGACTGCTACCAACAGGATCCTCAGAGCCTCCAGAGAAGGTGGGGCTGACAGTCCTTCCAGAAAACTGAAAAGGCTTTGGCAAGATAAACAAACAGTAGTTATTCACTTCTTGGGAGAGACTTAAATGAGATTCAAGAGTTTTCTCATGGTTCCACAAACAACTGTCATTATCCATAGCTCATCTCTGTGTCAAACTGAGCTTTCTCCTCCCACCCCCGAAGGGCCAAATAAAATAACGTAGGAAAGGTGTGATGGAAAAGATGATTTTCAGCATTTGGAAGAGGTTCAGATTTTTTTTTTGGGGGGGGGGGGGGGGGGGGGGGAGAGAGGGAGAAAGAGAGGAAAAAAAAGGAAACAAAAAAAAAGTTCTCCATGGAGAATTCAATTCAGCAGAATTACACAGCTCTTACGTCCGCCGCGAGGCTCTCTCCCACGCACAGCCGGTGGCTTCCAGCACAATCTCTGCTCAGCCCCAGCACTGTGTCAGCTTTGATAAGAGCCCCTGTGTAATCAGCACAGTACCAGTTATCCGGCTACAATACTGTATGATTTCCTCTTGTGGCTTCTTCATTCCTGTTTATAATTAAAGAAGGACTTCTTGCCATGCCAAAGGCTATGTAAAAATAAGTAATAAAGCGGTGGCGCCGAGCCAAGAGCTTGCTGCTGCCGCCGCTCTTAAAAGTCTTGCAACACAGTAATATCCAGCAGTGGTTAATAGCATTAGGGTTTGGGTGTTTGGTTCAACTATTTGCATTTAGTGGTTACAGGAGGGATGCAGGCAGCCTAGGTGAAGAAAAGGCCTGATGTGGTTTAGGATTACTGGGTGTTTAGCCTTTATATTTAGCAAAAAAGTTGAATCATTTGCTGGGTTTTCTTCACCGCATTGTGTTCACCCTGCTGCAATCAAGTTGGCCTCAAGTCATAAGCAGGGCAGGTGGTTAGAAGCTCAACCCTGGAGCCAGAACTTGTTCCATCCATTAATTATTTGTGTTGGATAATTAGCACGAGCGCTATGGAAATCATGGCCCCATTGTGTAAATACATATGGTGCCCCCAAGAGCTTCAGATTTAAATAGACGGGAGAGACAATGGGCAAATTAGCCAGTGCTACACAACAGGTCACCGAGAGCCAGCGGTCCCACCCCGACTTCCCATTTTCCAGGACAAACTGTTCTCTTCATTAGCCCATGCAACTTCAAAGTGCTCCAAATCGCAGCCCCAAGCTTCAAAATTCCTTATCTCCTTCCAAGTGCCTTCGGTCCCTGTCCCTCAGTCAAAGGCAGGTAGGGATAAGGAGGAGGTCTCCTGCCTGGCTGTGTTTCTTCTCCCTGCTCGTGGAGAAGCTGTGTCACACAATCTCCAGCACAAACCAAACAATCTTGCTCTGTTGCATGTGGGAGAGAAATTCTCTTCCTAACCATGTACATTTGTGGGGTGTAACTATTGAGCAACGGACTGTTATTTAGTCTTTGTTCTTAAGTAACTTAAGAAGGCTCTGTGAAACCAGCAGAGGGCTGGGGACCACAGACACCCGGGGCAAGTCACTTCTCCAGGGACACTTGCAGGTGTTGTCATTTGACAAATGAAGGTCTGGGATGGAAGGACTCGAGTCACGCAGGGTGTCTGTGGACAAAAAGGGTCCTGGAATAGCCAGAACTGTAACCACAAGGCCATTTGATTTTGCATTCAGTGTCCTCTTGCTGGGAAGAGAACTGAGAGCAGCCACGGCACAGGGACTAATCCAAACAGTACTGAAGAAGTATTTAAAAAACACAAGTGTTGAAAAGTCAGAGTGATTTCTTCACCTGTCTCCGATACGTTTTACCCGCTGACCTCACTGGGATGAACTCACTTAGGGAGTTGCAAAGGTTCCCAAACAAAGGCTCCTACCCATTCCGGATCCCGTATGAAAAACATTGCTCCCCGTCACTCTGAGTCACTCCTGGGCGGCCCAGCCAAGCCCAACCAAACCCAACCAGCCCAGCAGCCTGGGGAGGGGGCTCCTGCCTTTGATGTCTTTGGCTAGAAACAGGCTTACCCTTTCTTACACCTGAGAAAACATTCTGCAAAGAACCTCCTTTCCTTTGGCTTTGATGCCGTCTTTCACACTCTCTGTTCTGCCTTCACTTCATCTGCTTTGCTTCAGGAGAATGTAAATAAGGTGCCGCTGGGGAACTCTGAGGATCTCAAAATACTTAATGAAGATGGATCAATTAAACATACAGTCCTGGGAGAGAGAAGCATGGAAGTGCTCTGAAACAGAGCCATTTCTTGTGTGCCTTAGGCATTATGTGGGTAACAGAGAGCCCTCAAACGTGGCCCATCTCAGCTGTACCTCAGTGCCCTCCTCTCATGAAGTCACCCTTTATTTGGGCAACTAGAATTTGGGGGGTGTAACACACCCAGAAAATTTTCATCTTCCTTTGGATATGTTTCATATGATCACCACAAAAAAAAAAGGTACTTTCTAGGTAGATTCCCTTTTTAAAAGGAATTACAGTCATCCAAGGTGAACAGCAGGCAGAAAGGACTGGATGGAACTGGTAACAGTTTGGACCATGCCTTCAGGATGGCTCTTATTTTATTACCATTATTATCCCTCTACTTCTGTGTTTAGGAGGCTCTGGAGTATCAGGTTGCTTAGAAAAGTTTCCGTCATTAGGCCTGATTTACTACTCATTTAGTAAGACACAATGCTGAGATTGTTGGAGCTCCACTTCTGCAAACTCTTCTGGAAAGGCAATTCAAAGCCCAGTTGTGGTCATGGCCTCGTCCACCGAAGCCCACTGACTTCAGCCTCATCAGACCAGAGGTGTGAGGAGTAAGAATCTGCCCTGGCTTTCCCTTCCAGGACTTTGAAGCCCCATTTGGCCACTTGTTTCTTGTCCTGGATTCATCCTGATGTTCATGTGCATTAAAGCACCCAGCACCTCACTGCTCAACCCTGTCCTCCTCAGTGCAGTGGTGGAAATAGGGGCTGTTCCCTGCCACTGGCAGAAGTTATCGGTCCAGGCTGTTCCTAATTTCTGCACTTTGAGCAAGATTTCTACTCCAGCATATCCAGCTTGGGTTGAGAAGATAGATCTTAGCCACAGAGCCTCCTTTTTGTGGTTTCCTGAATGCTTTGGTTTAAAACTCCTTTTCCTCCTTCTCCCCCCGCCCCCCCCCCCCCCCCACCATAGATGCACTTTTATTCTGGAGATATGGAAATTTGCAGTGCAAGCTTGTTAAAATACCAGATGGTTTTGGGTGGTGATGGTGGTAGAGCAGAACAGATACTTACAGGCTTGACTGAAGTTTTCCCAACTCAAGCCTGCCACAAATATGCAGTTGCCTTCCTGTGAGAGTGATCTGAGCAAGCCTGGATGTGTGGGTCTGGCCACCAAACTCCCTGGACACAGGGCTCATTCACTGGTCAGTCCTAAAAAGAAATTACATACTTGGTCGCCCACTTCTCGCTTGTGTTTACTCTCCACTTCTCTCCCATCCATAGGGCAGGTGATGGCCAGATCCAAACCTCAGTGAAAGGAAGAGGAATCATTCCCTGGATTTCACTGGCCTTTGGATCAGGACATGGTGGGTTTTTTACTAGTTATTTTATTCTGTTTGCCACCTTAACCCGAGGAATCCAGCACATCCTTGAAAGAGGTTGTTGTGATGAAAATAACAACCCAAAGCTCCAGGTGGGATTTATCTGTCACATGGATTTACAGACCTGCCAGGCTTTAGCCGTATCTATCCTCACATCACCCACACTAAGGCTGTGAATGCCTGAAATTGCCTCCCAGACAGGCTTGAGGTCAAACCTGCTCCTCGTTGCTTACCTGCTGCTCACCTTCAGGGATCTGGTTCTGGGGTGTCTCCGCTGCCATCTCCAACTGGAAAAGCCTCAGCAACACCTTTGCACAGGTCCCCAAACTCCACTTGTGGTTCTGAGTAAGTCAGAGTGAGCATTGCCACGTCACGTCCTCCTGCAGGAGTTTAGCTCCTCCTAAACATCAAAAGGACACAGAAGGACAGAGTTATGGCAAAAGACAAAGAGCGTGTGGGTCACTGGGTGGGAAGAAACACACTCCTGAGATTTCTATTGTCACTAAAATTTAGGCATAACCAGAGAGTTGGAAAGAAAAGAAAGAGAAAGTAGGAGTCCAGTGACATATTGCTGTTTGTGTTGAGGAGCAGTAACGGCGTGGAAATGTAAGTGCATTTCAGCCAGACAAGCTCTGCAAGGCAGCATGATGAAAGCTGTGTCAGGTGAAGCTACACTGGCCTTAGGCATTTTGACTAATGCCAAGGTGAAGACATGTACTTGTCTTTTTGACCCAGTTCCTTTAAGTCCCATCCAGCTGCGCAGATAAAAGATGATTTATGGAACATTTCATTACTAATATCACTTATCTCATCCTCGGAGAGATGATACCGTGTTATCTTAAGCCTTCTTTCATAAGTGATCACTACATCTTTCAAACAGATGAACTCACGAAGAGGCTGAGGCTGATGGATAAGTGCAGTGGGCACCGCCTGACTCAGGGAAGTACAGAAGAAACAATAACACCAGAACACAGGCGGCATTTTTGTACTTTGATTCAAAAAGAGACATCTTTTATTAAAAAAAAAAGGAATTGCCTGGAAGAAGAAGAGCAAGTGGGTTTGTCACCATTTGCACTGCTTAGTAATAGCATTTTGGAAAGAGCAAAGGAGAGGCTTGACTCTTTTTATCACGAAACGCCTTCCATGGACCTCGGCTTCCAACACTATGTTTTCAGTGATGATGAAACCAAGTGTTCCAAACCAGAAGAAAACAGATTACTACGGGGCAGGACTATCTACTCTGGCTCTTGCGCAAGTACAAACAAAATCTGAACATCTGCTACATTAACCCTGAGCACTGTGGAGGGATTTTAATGACAAACATCACATCTCACTCTAACGCTGCAACACGTATGAAAACTTGAGGGGAGGATGAAAGACGTAAGACAAATCTGACTCTTCAAGACAAGTGAGGTGGGCCAGAAAGGCCTGTTTAGTTCTTTTGTATTAAACATGAAGCAAAGTGCCACTTATATATATCACCCTGACAGAAATTAATTACAGCTTCCTCCGGCACAATGACAAAAGAATCTAAATCACAACAAGGTCCCACGTTACAAAGCGACTTTGTATCTCACGTGTGATGTTACAAATTACTTCAAGTGATGGTATGTCAAAGTGGTAATTAATTTGATGAGTTTAAATTACATTCTGTAGAGGAAGAAACCATGTTCTTACACATCAGACATTTTTATATACTATCTCCTATGGGAAAAGCCTCATATAAAAAGAAACCTAGTTGTGTCTGGCTTTTATTATTTATTGAACAATGCTCCATTGATTCACAGATCCTCTCCAGACAGCTCATAAACAAGGCCTGTAGTGCAAAGTTTAGACAAGGACAACGATTTCTGAACTCTTAAGCATAACCCAAAGCTCTGTGATTACCCACACCGGAAGAAATCGACGAGCTGGAACTTATAAGGGAGAAATACAAGAAATGCAAAGATATTTTGCTGAAGGAAAAAAGTCAGATTTCCATGAAAATTGCAGTTTCATGGCTTTTCCCCTCTGTAAGATGCTTTTGGGTACACTTGTTCCAGAAGCGTTTCTACCAAACTCATTAACTACTAGTTCCTCCAAAACTTCTTGCCCCAAGAAGATTTATTTTGGGCAAGGACACATCTTTCTCAGGCCTTTGCGTCTTGCCCCAAGAAGATTTATTTTGGGCAAGGACGCATTTTTCTCAGGCCTTTGCATGAAAGCTCTACCTTCTTAAAGTGCACAGAAACAAGGGGAGTTTAATGCAGTTTGGGATTTACTTTATATTTAGTTATTTATATTTATAGTTTATATTAAAAAAGGCCATGGTTAGAGCAAAAGGCTCCCTAGACCACTGCCCTGTTTCACTGAGGCCTGGAAAGTCTCAAATGGTCTCCAGAGCATCTCCCCAGCAGTTCAAATGAAAGCAAAGTGTGAATATGACAAAATCAAGGTCATCAAAGGCATCTTAAAACCACCCCTGGGTGTGTGGTGGGGCTGGCTCTATCTCCCTTGTTCAAAGCGGCCTTAAGAAGATAAACTGTCCCAAACTGGTGCTCCCACCAGCTCTGGGGTTCCCACAGACACCATATATAATTTCATAAATTGGCTCAATTCCTTGGAAACCGGTCCATCTCCTAAAACCAAATGGATCAACTTTAGTGGCAGTCACCTCTCCTTATATCCAGCTGTTAAATCATTTAAAGGCAGCTAAAGCCACGTTCAATTCTCTCCCATTACCGTCACTTCCCACGTAAGCAACTGCTGCAGCTCTCTCTCTTTCCAGAGAAAGGAGAGGTGGGGTCCGTGGGATCATGTTCTCAGCAGAGAATCTCGGTATTAAAACATCATCCACCCTATGAAAAAGGGTTGAGAACCCCTTGGCCTCCGTGAACCCTGGAGGAGCGTTTCCAGCGCTGTCGGAGGGGCTCCCTCTGTTATTGCAGGCAGCCCTGTCCTACCCTGGCTCTCGTTCTTGTTGATGATTGTCATTTCTAATCTTTTGGCAACAGACATGGTCCAAAAAAAAAAAAAAAAAAAAAAAAAAAAAAAAAAAAAAAAGTTTCCTCCTTCTCCATCCAAAAGACTCATCACACTTGTCTTTGTCTGGAACATATAAATCATAAATCATCTTTCATAAATAAGACTAATCCTGCTGAGTCAGCAGCTGTCTTTACACAGAAGAGGCTACTTAATTAGCAAAAATGGATGCAAGACAAACAATCCTTTGGCAGACTCGCTCCAACAGTGCCTTTTATTTTAGCCACAGACGAGTTGCAGCATAGCAACCATAACTTTTAAAAAAAAAAAAAAGAAAGAAAAAAAAACAAAACCAAAACAACAAAAAAAGTTCCTCTGAGTTGGCTGCATCTCAGCTTCCTGGCTTGAGGGATGAACTGCTCTGCCCCAGATCCAGCTCTTCTTAATATCCAAAATATGCTGCAAGAAAGGTCATTGGAAGGGAGTGGGCTAATTCAAGGCACAATTGTATCACACTGAAAAAAAAACCCCGAGCCTGATGAACCTATTTTCCACCTGATGACCTGCACCCTGAGTTTGTGCAAGTATATCCCACTGAGGATTCAACACAGGGACCTCATAAACTTAATGACACGTAATTTACATGTCACAATTAAGACTTAATATTCCAATTTTTTTCTATGCCAATGATATTTTCCTTTCCAGCCTGGGTATTTCGCCCTCTGGTGCCACCCAGCCACATTCTCAGCTGACATGAGCAAACACAGACCCGTTGACTTCCACAGAGTGACCCACCACAAGACCCTGGCTGACGAAGGTGGCTCGTTAAAATGGAAGCTCCTGGCTGATGGGACGTAAGGCGCACAGGGAGCGAGAGGCATTTGGTTTAATTGCTCTGTTGCATAAGTTTCCTACTTCTGGTCAGGGTTTCTAATTAGAAGCAAATACATTCCCTTTGAAACCCCAGTAGTTTCTGTGAAATCCGGAAGGTAATTCCTTTATACGACACCGAGAAGTCTGGTGTCATCTTCATTTCAGACCAGCCAATGTTCTACTCTTATGTACTGGGCTACAAAAGATACGGTCAGAAGCAGCAGGACCTTCATTTCATGCCCTGACAAATCCAGAAGACACTGTTGAAAAGCCTTCAGGGCCAAAGATTTCTTTCCTATCAAGTAATAACACCAGGATGTGATGATATCCGAACCCAGGGCATCTATTTCACTTCCTCTCAAATGCAAAACGGACTGTGGTCATATCTGTAAATGATGCAATTATAAAAACTTCCCAGTTATCCACTCTTTGAGCATTATTTGGAAATTATTTCAGCTACTTTTCCATCACTGGATTCAGAATATTCTGGTTTCTCAGCTAAAACTATAACACCGAATCCTACCAGAGTCTAGAATTCACATTAGCATCTGGGTTGTGTTTGGGTTTTGGCTTTCCTTAATAGAACAGCAAAGAGCAGCCGGGAGGAGAAGGAAAATCATTGGGATTCATCTCTTGCTTCAAGACAATGAAGTTACATAATAAAATAGGAGAAACCCGTGTGATTTTTGCAGGCGAGTTGAGAGGAGGAGAAAATCAGTTTTGCTGCTAAAATCTCTGCAGAGGGCAAGAGGCAGATACAACAAAAATAGCAAAAATGTGGTGTCATGCCTTTGGGTCCCCTCGCTGCCTGAGCTCCGTGGACGTAAATCAGCCAAAGATCTCACCCATCGCCGCTGATTCATCGCTATTAATTAAAGCTGAGACACATCCCTTATTCTTCCTACTCGTGACATCCGCCACAGCACCGGCTCT